GATTTTAAAGGGTATCTGGAAAGAGTATCGGTATTAGAATTGGCTTTACCAGGACGGTGTTTAATAACCATGTCGTAGGCATCGAGTTTCATAGCCCATCTTGCTAGACGACTTGTAGGATCTTTTACACTGCTCAACCATTGCAAAGATCGATGGTCTGTCCAAACTTCGAATGGTCGTCCTTCAAGATAGGGTCTGAAATGCTGCGTACCCCGAACAATGGCTAAACACTCCCGTTCAGGCGCTGAATACTTTCTTTCACAGGGCTGCAAAATACGATTGGCATAGGCTATTACATGTTCCCTGCGCTCAATATTTTGGGCGAGAACAGCACCAAGACCATAGTCACAGGCATCCAACTGTAACATAAACGGATAGTCAAAGTTAGGATAAGTGACTATAGATGCAGTAATCAGCCGTTCTTTTAATAATTCAAATGCCTGTTGACGTTCGGGCATAAACACAAAGATTGGGTTGAGTTTTTCTCGAATCGAGTCAAACAAAGGTTCAGCAACTTCTGCATAATTTTTAATAAAACGTCTGTAATAGCCAATTAGTCCTACAAAATGCTACTAAATCAACTTTTTTTCTGTCATATTTTTTAATTACAAGCTAACCGGATCTGGTACAGCTATTTGACCGGTACCGGGCTGAACCAGGGTGAACCGACCGGTCGATAAGTCTCGACCGTAACCGGACCGGGATCGATTGCATCTCTGTGGTATTCAACATTTGACAAATAGTATTCCGGACTTTGAATTCAATATTGAAACTTTGTTATTGCAAGCACCTCTAGACAAAAATTTGTCGAAGCAGTCGCTGACTATATCATTCAGACACGTGGCTTTAGTCTGCCTCTTGACTTTATCTTTTTTTACGAGCTAATTTTGCAGCGCCAAACAGATGCACAAGCGCGGAGTTAAGTATCTGAGACTCTCTCCCAGGTCGAAGAGTCGTACGAGCGGATGGTATCAGATCGGATATGATCAGATACAATTGTATTGTATGATCATACACAAACCGGTATGATCTAGAATAATCGTACAAACTCATACATACGAAATGGTACGATCGACGTCTGTCTCGTGGTGCGTGAAAATAATCATACGCACGATATTGTACGATCTGATCTGATCCCATGAGATCATACATACGAAATAGTAAGATTAATAATAAGTTTCTACGATTCCGGACGACCAAATTACCGGCTTTTTAACATTACGAATATAAATTCATTCGCTTCAATATTTTCTATGGCAGTTTTCGACACAACATGATAGAAACTTGGTCAGCATCTCATTTTATGGAGAATTGAAGGAACTATCCAATAATATGGCTGATAAACTTCTGAAAGAAACTTTAAAATCATCTAGGTTTTTCTAGAAAAACGGGTTTTCAGAAATCTCTATCTCAAAATCTTAAGGTGTAGCGCACTTTTTCTTCATCGAAATATATAGAACTCGACGCGCTCTTTTATTTGATAGCAACTTTAAGGTTCTATGTTAGAAAATGTAGTCAGCAGACGTTCTACAAGTTAGGCCAAATCCGCCGGAAAAATAATGAAAATGCATTTTTCTGGTGCGAGGGTAAAATGACTATAACTTTTTAGAGACTTTTTAGAACTAGAGACTTGCGGCTTTCACCATTCGGTTTAGCTTAGCTCTATAATATGAGGTAGGTCTCATCACTGACGTGAAAGATCGATGTAAATGGTGGTCGGTTTTATATGGATTGAGCCTATCGTTGATGCCGAGTTTTTCACCTCTGATCGAACTTGCCGCTACAATATCTGCGGTCGGACAAAATATTTTTTGGCCAAATTTTACCAGAATAACTAACATATGTGAGGATGTTTTGAGAAACTTTTGCGGATGCGGTGTTTCAAATATTCGAGTTATTGAAATTTCAAGTTTTTCGAAATTTCGAGGCCATGCTTTGTGTTTTCAATGAACAGGAGTTAAACTTATTATGGATATACAAAGATGATTTTGTGTAGAATTTGATTGGTGGAAACCGTTTTCCGATACCTACTTTCGTTGTTGAGTTATAACATTTTTAATCGAAATCAGACTATATGAGAAAAACTTGATTTTCCACCCAAAGACAAACAGTTTTAAAGAACTTACAACGGGTTCGGATGTGCCTACACAGATAGGTTTTTAATAGATAGAAAACTCAAGCTCAAGACATTGATAAGTTGCAAAACTTCATATTTGTCCTTTTACATTTTGCATAGCAAAACCTTTGATTTTCATGAAGTTTTATCATGGAAAAAGATAAAAAATATTTTTCGTATTTATTTACACTCATACCTTGACACAGATTTAGAAACGCAAAAAAGTCTAAGTTAGTAAAATAAAATGTAATACTTTAAAAAAAAGTAATATCCAAAAATGACTGCAAAAATGAATGAAAAAAATATTATAAAGAGTCATTACTTTCTGAAATTGTCTGTTTGCTCGATCATGGCCATCAATTTTTTCAGATAATGAATTTAATCATTTCTTTTGTCATTTGTTTCTGTCTGCTTGTTGGCAGTATTTCAGTTATTCCTTCTGTAAGCATGAAAAATCGGTTATAGAATAAAACTAGAACAAGATTTATTTCGTTTAAAACTTTTATAGTTCGCCGAAGAATGTGTAGAAAATGCATGGCCACCAAAGCCAGATAGATTAATTAAAACATATGTGGTTAATCTGGATGAACCAGCCACTCAAAGATGGAATTCTATTGTTTCATTGCACATACCTGAGGTAAGAACATGTACGTTTGTTCCCTTCTTGAATCTTTTGTGATTGTTGCTTATTATAGATAAAAGATTTGATTGATTCTCTAAAATTATTTCTTCTTGAAATTTCACCAGAATTTAAATTTTTAATTGATATAATCGATACAGAATTGGTAAATTGAATGAGATTGATGAGTTATAGCATAAAATTGACTCTATTTTTCTTACATTTTTTCTAGCCGGGAATTGCCGATACATTGCCTGCACCTTATGGTGATGAAATCAAAGGGATAAGTCAAGCATCCGGTATACCATTAGGTACATAGTTATATATACACTCGTTTCCTCTTATTTGAGAAAAGAACCTCTGCTTTCCAGGAGATGGAGGTTAGATAAAATTAAACGTGTAACAGAGGAGACGTTCTCTATGGTTCATTAATCCTTAGTGTTTATAAACAGCCATTCATTGGATGATAGCTGATCACCTTTACATCCGTTTTCTATTATTACTTTTTAATTCATATCTATCCATTGTGGAGGAATTAGTTTCAAAGTTGACTGGTTGTGAAAGTCTACTTCTCTGTTTTTCTGCTCATGAACTGTTTGATAACATTATATTATATAGTAATCGATGAAATGTGTTCAAAGTAAACTGCCGTCCACATTAGAAGCCCAGTGGGCTTCCATTATGTCCTGCAAGAAAGGCAAAATTTAGTCAAAAAGTACCCTATGGGGACAGGCGCAATTTTCAAAAAATTTCTTGCCAGACTGGGCTTCTAATGAGGGTGGGCTTCTGTTATGGTGTGGGCTTCTAACGTGAGGGGGAGTTTATAGGGGTAGAAATTTTTTTTGAATTTACGGGCTTATATGACCCATGGGGTAATTTTGTCGAAGTGTCATGCTGGTGGGATCGCGCAGTTGCAACATCAAACACATGGTCACGTGTGAACTTTCCATAGCTTCACAAGCTAGAATTTCTTTTCACGAGTGTCCACACACCATTTTATGACTTTCAGCAGTAACCACGTGCGAAAAATATAACGCGAAAAGTTTCCATGAGCAGTTCATGCGTTGTCACAAGAGGAATATATTTCTTACCCGTGCCCACACACCATTTTGAGATGTTCAAGTGCAACCACAGTTCATTTTACGATATTCACGAGTGTGCACGCCGTTTTATATACTAAAGTTTCCTCATGGGGACAGTCACAACCATCAAGCATACAATCATATGTGGCCATAGGTTCATCCTTGATCACCTACGTTCAAGTAGGGAAAAATTTTGAAATTATTCTTAGTATGAAAATTTTCGTACTTATAAGTAAGTAAGAGTGTGAAACAACACGATGATTTTCAAGAATTATCACGATCTTAGTCACAAGAAGTTTCGCGAAAGATAATACTACAACTCTAAAACTGCCTATTCTGACATATATTTATACAGTTTTGAAGACTCTATCGAATGGTATACAAAGAATTCTATACATCGTCGATACTATAGTAAATAGTAAATCTTACATTATTCACTATCTTTATCAAAGTTAACATATTCCTCCACACACTAGCATCCTAAAAATATTTCCAAAATGTAGCTTTGTAGGTCGCTTTCAGAGCTATCGATTATTATATAACATAGTGTAAAAGAAAAATAAACAAACGTAAGCTTTTACAATCGATCGGTTTTGAAAATTGTTTCCTTAACTACGGATTAACTATTACTATCAATTAAGAGGTAATAGTAGAAAACGGATGAGCAGACGATCGGCAGTCATCCCGGTTAACGGCTAATTATAATTAATGTATTTCTGTGCATAACACAAATAAGTACTTATTTTAGGTGAAATTGTTTTGTACAACATATTTTATGAAATATCTGCATATTGTACATCGAGTATGTTCAATTTAATTTCTTATTGATGCACGAACTAAATACATCGTTCTCTGTCTTTTAAGTTATTGCTCAAGATCAGAATGGAAAAGTTTATCATGGCCGAAATCTTGATTTTGGTTTTCCACTGAGGTGTGAATTATTGTTCTCTTTTTTCGAATTGTATAATTATTTCGATTTCATTTTAGTTGGCGTAATATAACATGGCCGTTGGCTGAAAAATTACGAACAGTAACAATTCAAGTAAATTTCACACAAAATGGCAAACTTTTATTTGAAACAACTACTTTTGTTGGGTACATAGTCTGTTAATAACGGGTGATGCAAAAGTTTTTTCTCTGTTTTGTTTGCTTCATGTCTGAGTCCAGAAAAATCGTACACATTTACTTCTTTTTTCATCAGAAAGAGCAGATTCTAGTTTACAGAAATATATAAGAACGGCGGACAACAACTAGTTGGAGAAAGAGATATTCCATTTACAAGACAAGCCGTCAATAATCCATTTATAAAAATCACATTTGAAAATGAGGGCTACATATTTTGTTTGATCAGTTTCTTGTTTGTATTTAGAGTTTTCATGATACATTATGTACCAATATCAAGGGGGAAAGCACGGAATCCTGGAATCTCATGGAATCCCACGGAATCCAATGGAATCCAACGGAATCTCATGGAATCTTACAGAATCCAATGGAATCCTGGAATCCAAAAGAATCCAAAGGAATCCAAAGAAATCCAATGGAATCAAATGGAATCGGATGGAATCTGGTGGACTCCGATGGAATCCGGGATTCTACACTTCTCCCGAAACAGAACAAAAGTGTTCTATATTTCGGGAAACTTTTCCCAAAAACAGAACAAAATATTCTGTTTTGGGGAGAAGTTCCAGAGAATCCAGGAGAATCCTATGGAATCCTAGCGAATCCTAGAGAATCCTAAGGAATCCTAGAGAATCCTTGGAACCCTACAGAATCATAGGGAATCCTTAGAATCCAGAGGAATTCAGGATTCCAGGATTCTGTGCTTTCCCCCTTGACCAATATACTTGACGAAATCTGCCCTTTCTTGTGACATCCGAATCTACATATTGCATAATTAGGGTAATCATTGAGGTTTAATTGGAAAAACTAAAAAAGTTAAATCTATACAAAAATGAAGTCACTCATATTTCATTATTTACAGCGAATAGTTTCAATCTTAATCAAGATTATCACGATTGTACATTTAAAGAGCTTTCATTTGATGTATGTGGTATCAACTAAGTCTTTTTCCTTCATAGAAATAAACTGTTCTAATGTGGAGTCATCAGAGTGTTGAATAATTTCACACTAGTGCCATGGGGTTGGGTGACTTTCATTAAAGCGTTTTTTTTAATGAAACTCCGATATCCCGTGCCATCATCACTTTTTCACTGGACATTTTTTACTTCAAAAATCATGACAAGTTTTCTTTTTAAATTTTCCTCTTGTCCTGTATATACACTGTAAAACCGTATTTGAAATGAATATATTAATTGACTAACCAGTGCAAGAGGAATATATTTCGCTTTTATAAATGGATTATTGACGGCTTGTCTTGTAACAGGAATATCTCTTTTTCTAACTGATTGGTGTCCACTGTTCTTATATATTTTTGTAGACTAGAATCTGCTCTTTCTAATGGAAAAAGAAGCAAATGTGTACGATGTTTCTGGACTGACGAGGGAACCGATTTAACCGTCAAATCGTTTTTTCAATGAGACCTAGTGGATTATAGATTATGAACTACGCTGATTCTGAATTTGACTATGGCAGTTGTCTATAGATCTCCAGAGATCCAGTTTTTGGAAAACCACTTTTTTGGAAACTCTAAACTATAACCAAAACCTTCCTTAATGAGACATAATTGTAGCCTACACATTTCTGATTAAAATGAAACATCTCCCAGCTCTACACGACCTTTCTTTGCTAAGTTATAGAATTGACAAGAAAGACCCTAAATGTTCATTGTCAACTCAAAGCTCCAGAAATAAGAAGAAATTAATTTAGGGCTTTTCTTGTAAATTCTATAACTTACCAAAGAAAGGTCGTGTAGAGCTAGGAAATGTCTCATTTTAATCAGAAATGTGCAGGCTACAATTATGTCTCATTAAGGAAGGTTTTGATTATTTTTTAATACTTCTGAAAAAGTGGTTTTCCAAAAACTAGATCTCTGGAGACCTATAGGCAACTGCCATAGTCATATTCAGAATCAGCGTAGTCGATAATCTATAATCCACTAGGTCTCATTGAAAAAAGGATTTGACAGTTAAATCGGTTCCCTCGTTAGTCCAGAAACAAACAAAAAAGGGAAAAAGCTTTTACATCACCCGTTAATCATAAACGTCGATTTTCTATTTTCAATTTTAGTTATGTTGGTGTATTAACTGGTGTCAAACCAAATGTATTTAGCGTATCAATGAATGAACGTTATGGTTTTCAAGGTGGCTATGTTGGCTTAATAGAATGGATATTCAATATAAATCGAGCTCAATCATTTAATACACTTGCTGTACGTGATGTTCTTACAAAATCTTCATCATATAGTGATGCTGTTGAATATTTATCAAAGACAGTAATACTAGCACCATGTTATTATATATTAGGTGGTCCCGAATCCGGACAGGTAGAATGAATAATCATTTACTTTTATACCAACAAGTTTATCGATTTTTGTTTTATTATGATAATGTAGGGTATTATCATTACAAGATCTCGTAAAATATCTGATTATTTTGAAATGCTTGGTAAAGATAATTTATGGTTTATAATCGAAACAAATTATGATAATTGGAAGCCACAACCGAGTGGAGACGATCGTCTAACACCGGCAATAAGATGTATGAAAAAATATGGCTTACAAAATGTTACATTTGCATCATTATTCAATGTATTTTCGTCTCGACCGGTTCTAAATAAAGTAAATTAAACATATTCAATCAACAGACAGTGTAATATGTCCACCATGTTCTTTTACTTTTAGTCAACTGTTTATACGGCTTTAATAGAATTATCAACTGGTCGTTTGGAATCATATTTACAATTTTGTATAGATTCATGAAGATTAGCTCCAATAAATTAAAATTTTATAATTATTAGTAAACACAATCAAAGCAAGCAATCATTTCACTGTATGTTTTTAAATGTAATATGTATGGTTAGTGAATTAAACGATGTGTTTGCTAATAATCGTTTTATTTTTTACACTTCACTTACATACATAAATAATAAGTTTTTGTCTTTCAGAATATTATTTTCTTTAATACAAAAAAATAAACGATCTTTTACTACCGGGTATGCCATAATGATTCCAACATTCTTTATTTTGCGTATATCTCAGTCCAGAAATATGGTAACATTATAATTTCTTCTTTTGAAAATGCGTCATTTAATTCTCTACAAAAACATATTAAACATTTTTCTATATATCTTAAAAAGTAAGAGAATATGAAGAAAATACGGCGAATATGTTATATACATACATATCTCGACTACTTCCTACGCCAAAAAACAGTTTTTCCAACTTTCAAAGATCTATTGTCGAAATTTTAAAAGAGGCTATCCGGCAGAATGCTTATGACTTTTCAACGAAAATGGCTAGCGACCTGCGGTTTTCACCATTTGAAAGAGAAGACTGGGGGACGTAAATGTGTGGAAAACTTGATTGATCCTACAATCGACCAATCAGGTGAGTGCTTGGTAGACCTTCTGAAATCGATATTCTGAAGACATTTCCCATTTGCTTTTAGCTTGTAATATCACCACTCGATAGAGAAATGTTTTCTCTTTCAATCTAAGTGCGAGATAAAGTGACTTTATCTCGCTTTGAAACTGAAAGTAAATATTGCCACTTGACTCAGCGTGACGGATTACCACCATGTCGACCTATTTTGCGGTGATTCAAGATCAAATGGCCGAAATCGGGGCTCCTACGAAAACGCTTATAGCTCCTGAATGGAACAAGCTAGGAAGGTAGGCATTGTGTAGATTGAAAGAGAAAACATTTCTCTATCGAGTGGTGATATTACAAGCTAAACGCAAATGGGAAATGTCTTCAGAATATCGATTTCAGAAGGTCTACCAAGCACTCACCTGATTGGTCAATTGTAGGATCAATCAAGTTTTCCACACATTTACGTCCCCCAGTCTTCTCTTTCAAATGGTGAAAATCGCCGGTCGCTAGCCATCTTCGCTGAAAAGTTATAAGCATTCTGCCGGATAGCCTTCTTTTAAAATTTCTTTCAGTTTCAGACTGCAGTTTGGGGCCACTTAGGAAAAATTTCAGAACTCAGTCAGAGTCAAGCATTTTAAGATTGGATTTGTTTCACTTTGAAGGAAAATTAGCCTGCTTTAATATTCGAACGTAAAAGGTTCTATAGATCCGCTATTTCTAGTGAAGACGAAAAAGCCAAACGGAAATAGAAATGTTCCAAAAGATATGAAAAATAATAAAATATTAAAAGATATATTTTCTGGATTAAATAATCAATATTTAGAATTAATTAAACATTTATTAGACTATTCACAACTAATTACAATGATAAAAAAATATGATTTATATAGTCATAATGGTCGACGACATTTTTTGGAATTATGAGATCATTTAAAATGAGTAGGCAAAACGCAGATACACGGCTGAGATACCGGCTCTATCATCGTTTCATTCCTCTTATTTTTTTCATCTTGTGAGTGCACACATTCCACACTGCTCTCTTCACAGCTTATTATTCATCATAGTGAAAAACCGTTAATATTATTCAAGTGAAATGGATATAACAAATATAAGTAGTCAATTATTTAAAAATGATCAATTTACTAGTGAATTATCTAAATTAGTTAAAATAAGTGTTGAGCAAAGATATACACTGTATTTTCAAATTTATAAAAAATCCTCACCGATTTTCCAACTTTATCCCTCCCGTTTTCAAATCCTGATTTGTTTATTCTAATAAATTTTGTTCACAGCTGCACCCATGTAACTTGGGTGCGTCTGAAGAAACGCGTTTAAACGCGTTTCGATCGGAATAGACGCGTCTAAACGCGGGTATTTTGGGGAAAACCTAGCAAACGCGTTTAAACGCGCCTCATACGAACGCGACTAAACGCGTTTTTGAACTTCTGCTTGAAAAAACGCGTTTAGTCGCGTTTTATATAG